CGTCCCTGCCTTGGTTCTCTCCTGTTAGCTCAGTGCCTGGAGCGTTTCAATTACCTGGTCGAGGACCACGGGTGGTCTCAGCAATGATACAAGTCACGATGTTTGTGACTTGATGCAAGCTATGATATTTTGAAATAGTGTGCCTGTGCTTTGGAGGCATAGAGCTATATTTTAGTTTCTGCTTGATATGTCAAAACACCGTCGATGTCACAATTCTCTCCCTGAAGTACAGACCCGGTCATGGTATCGTTGCAAAGTGCTGTGAACACATTCTGCCATTCAAAATTTTCTGGGAAATACAACCCCAAAGTCACATTAACTCTTTTGACCAGTATGTCAGGCTGGGAATGCGTGTTCCGGTGATTATTTAACAATACCATTCTCTGCCCCCATCCCTGAGTTCTTCTCATAGTAGAGTAATTCTATTTCCTGTGTTCTTTTCCAAAAAATCATGTGTGCTCTTGGTTCTCGGAGAACAGTAACTCTACACTTTATACCATTTACTTGAGTTCAACAAAACAATCCTCCTCATGGTTTTAGCTCCTTCCATTCTGAATTACCCGTAAGCACTAACTTGTAGCGTTTTTGTTTCTCTAGTTATAAACTAACTCTTTCAGTGTGACTGTTCTTGTAGCTGAACTTGTTATTTTGTAACTTTGCTGAGTCCTTTAAGAGTAAAACACACTTAACTCTCCTCGATTGCATAGGGTCTATGAATAGTTGCATTTGATTAACTTGAAGGCAACTGCAGGCATGTGGATAAACACGGATTCTGTTGAGAATGTGCTTTTGAGTTAAATTTTTTTTAATGGTGCAGAGAAGGTTGTTGTTGCTTTGTATTTGAGTGGATTCCCATCATGGTCATTCGTAGAATGTCTGAAAGAAAAGGCAGATTTTGTGTGTGTGCCAAAATGGAAGGGGACACCTGACCCCCACGCAAGTGTAGAGGAGAGTGCAGAGACTCCCTGTGTGGTGTATGTAAACAGTCATGTAGGAAGGCTGGTGGTGGACTGACTCTTTGATTTGCATGGAATCACATGAAAATTGATAGCCTTTATAAACCACCACTCAGTCATCTCTAGGGCTAATTTCACTACTGGTAATAATGCTCCTGTAGTATAATTTTAAGTCTCTCAAAATTTGTAACTGCAGTCTTCCTGGCATGATTCTATCTCAGGTTTACTAAGGTCAGACTTATTTATATTTATGGTCTGGAGATTGGTTTTGATTTGTCAGGAGGGCATGTTTGTTTCCTTTTATGTGGCTTTTAGTGCAGGTGTAGGTAGATACTAATGTTGCGTATGATTTGCTCCTTTTATAATCAGAGTTTTGTAGTAGTAATTTCTGTTATGAAGTCAGATCTAAATCTTGATGTGTCTTCTATGGAAGTTTTTTACGTGTAAAATAATTTTATAGCTGAAAACTGTGGGGAAATGAACTTTTAGTTTATAGAGAGTTTTATTATTCATGAAGTAACATGCCATTTTGTAATGTTAAAGATAATTGTGAATAAATCTGTCTTTGGAAGCTACTTATTTCAAACCATTTGTTTTAATATTCTCACAGCTTTAGTTCTCTAACATGCCATTTTTTACATTTTTCTTTAAATGTATCAGCCTTGTACTTTATTAACAGTTAAGAACTGACTGGTTGGATTTTGGGTGATGACATCTTTACAGACGTTTCTTTGAGAATTTTTATTTTTTTGTAAGAGATAAATGAAAAAATGATATATTGGAAAAGAGAGAGAATTTAAAAGCAGTGTAGATTCTTAATGCAGAGTTAACTTTCTTTCCTTGTTTTAATGCCTGGTCAGAAAACTAAGTCATAGAAGAATCATAGAATAGTTAGGGTTGGAAAGGACCTTAAGATCATCTCGTTCCAACCCCCCTGCCATGAGCAGGGACACCTCGCACTAAACCATGTCACCCAAGGCTCTGTCCAACCTGGCCTGGAACACTGCCAGGGATGGAGCATTCACCATGTCCTTTTTATGTTGAGTCAATCTGAGTTAGCCTAAATCTCCTGTTAGGCTAATCTGTGATTTTTAGTAAGTTACTTTTTAGTATATGCTTGAATTTCAGCTTAATTATTTTTAGTGTCATGAGGGATTCTTGAAACAGGAAACTGTTGGAACATTTCAGTTCTGCTTATTATTGGCTATTTATTTAATACACAGAAGAATCCCAAATGTTTTGCTATATTTGTGATAACTCTCTTTCTTTTCCTTTAGTATTCAACATGTGTATGGAGCTCAGCATCCGCCTTTTGATCCATTGTTGCATGGAACGTAAGTTAACCTAATATTTAAATATCCCAGGTAGTGTGTATCTCCTCTACCTTTTCTCTTTCTTCCCTGTTAGCTATAAACTTGTTGTTAATCTTCCTTTTTCAGTTTTTGTCATAATCTTGACTTCTCTGTTCTCTCTTCTCTTGTGACTTCCTGATGCTTACCATATTGGGAGCAACAAATTAGCTGTTCAGTTCTTAACTAGCCTAGATTGCCAGCATTTATTACCTATTTGCAGTGCCTTACACATTGGATGGTATGGTAAAAACTAATCTTAATTTAGCAGGTGAAGATTATAACTCAGGTGTAAGCAGCTTTCCTGCATGCATCTTTGTGTTGATGGGCTGGCTTTCTTTGTAAGAGAGAAAAGTCAGGTTGTGATGTAGATCACTTTGAGGCAAAGGTGGGCATTTTGCTTGTGGTAAGTCAGTAGGTAGAATAGATTTTAGTGCTTTAAAAATTTATTGCCATAGATGATGATTATTTGTGATATCAGAACACAATGAACATGAAAATGGTAACATTATGTTAAACGTCATTAGTAACCAAATAAATTTCATGCTGATAACCCACAACTAAAGTGAATAAGTGAATTATTTTCGTCTCCTTGTGGCTGAGGTTTACAGCAAAATACTGCTTTCTGACAGCTCCTGCTTCTCTGCTTTATTGTCTTTTTTTTTTTTTTAACTTTTTTTAAAATTTATTTTCTTTGAAAGACAGTTTTTTATAAACTTTGTCCTTGGCAAAGTTGTTTCTGGTTTGTTGGTAGAGTTCACAGCTCCTTTGAAACCAGCATTGAAATGTTGGTGTATGTGAGAATCTAGGGAAAATTGTATGACCAATGAAATGAATGGCCCAAAGTGGCAAGGCCAAAATTTAATGGAAGGAGTTTGTACTTCTAGTGATTTTTATTTTTCTTTTTTTTTTTTTTCCCAAGGGCTTGTTTGAAATGGCACAAAAGATAAACATGTGCTTGTTAATTTTCAGATGATACAGAGTTAAAGGCAGCTGAAATGTGTGACCTTGAGGACTGAAGAAAAAGGAATGGAATGAATTGGTTCAAAATGTGGAGTTATGAAGAGAGACCCAATAACAAAAACTAAAAGCTTAATGCTTGAAATGATGACGGAAGAGGAGAAAGACCTTGCTATTTTAGATAATGACAAGCTGGGTGAAAGTGTTAGTTCTGTAACACCTATTAGGAAAGATATTCCTTGTAGTACATAACAGAAACATTACTGACATAGTAAGAAGTCTGTGTGAGAACTTTTTCCGATTTCCAATTCTGGCTGCGTTGTCTCAACAGGAAAAAAAAAAGAGTAAGTGAGCACAGGTGGAAAGACAGGGATGGGCAGAAAGGGCAATGGATTAATGACAGTAACTTTTTTTTTTTTTTTTGAAAGCAGACTAGGATGCTCTCTCAACTTTATGCCTTGTTTAGCTGAAATCTGGAGAGAGATGTGATTGCTCAGCTTGGTTGTGAGAACAAGTGCCAAGCTAGGGAGGAATGCTTGGTTCTTCTCTGTTACACTGTGTGTTGACAGAGGGATGAAAGGTTAGAAGCTGATCAGGGTACACTTAGACTAGCATATAGAGGAAATATCCTGCCTACGAGAAGAGCAAAGTTCTGAGGCAAATTGAGCTGGAGTGCCTGTATAGGGAGGAATGATAGATGTAATGAGTTTTAAGGTGACACTTGATTTATGACAGTGATTGAATTGCATGACTGATTATGATGACATGAGTAGACCTGGTGAGTTGATTACTGCTGCTGTGTTGTTATGCCACAATTGCAGTCTGCAGAAGTTCATGAAGCAACAGAAGTGCAACATGTCCTGTCTATCTCTTAAACTATTGCAGTAGTATTCTGTTTATTTGTTTTTTGGGTTGGTCTGTTTTTTTGTTGTTGTTTGGTGTGGGTTTTGGTGTTTTTTTTTTTTTTTTTTTTTTTAACAGTAACATGACTGGAGGAAGATAAATTTTGCTACCTATCCATAGTGTTTTTCATACTCCATTACTAGTTCTCTAAATATTGTTTACTTGTTTTTGAACAGCTTGGTAAAACCAGGTTCAAAGCCACCTACAACTCCAGTGAAACTAAAGAAAGTCAGCACCTTTCAAGAATTTGAAAGTAACACAAGTGATGCTTGGGATCTTGGGGATGATGATGATGAACTCTTAGCAATAGCTGCTGAAAACTTAAATACAGAAGTGGTCATGGAAACGGCTCACAAAGTGATTGAGAATCATAGCAAGCTACAAGAACAGCATAAGTTTCAGGAAGAACATCTACAGGAAGAAAAACAAGTGGAATCTGCAGAATTGTCTTCGATTGCATGTGGTGATACTAGGCTTGTTAAATCAATCAGTGAAGGTCATACGTCGAGCTCATCAGGTATGTTTAAAAAATGAAAAAGATGTTGAAAATCAAATGAGGGGACTAATATTTGTCCTTTAAGACATTAACCCCTTTCAAACCTTTTCATAATACCACAGGAAAATGTTAGTAATCAATACTGATTTGAGGGAGGCACTGTATGCCTTACTAAACTTTAAAGTATGTGTGTGAGATATACATGGGTGAGGGAAGAATAATTAAACTTTTGTGTTTTCAGCATTATTACATGCTCAGTTTTGAAAGGAAATTGCCCCACTGAATGCATTTTAATAGTTAACTGCACCAAGATGTCTGCAATTAATAGTTTTCCTACTATTGTGAAAAATTCTTATTAAAATGCTACTGTATAAAGTATATTGAAAAATTGGAGGAAACCATGCGTGGATTGGGAAGTTCATCCTTATGTGATCTGGTCTGTGGTTTATGTATAAACTTTAAAGTAATGCAATGATTTCCCCTCCACCTCTGCCCCCCTTCCTTTTTTTTATTTTACTTTTTTTTTTTTTTCTTAGATTGGTGAGGGGGATAGAAATGGCTTTCAGTAGCACAGAGATTTTTAAAATCAATTGCTGTTAGAATGTTCTCTAATTGATGTGTTTTAATTGTGGAATACTGCTTGGAAGAGGAATGCTCCTCCTGCTAAATCCAAGTCATTTGAAGTCCAAACTTATGCTATTCTTCAGTTTACATTTCTCCAAAACCTAATTCTTTTAAATTTACAAATTAAATTCAGTTTATTAGTAACCTTCTCAGTAGCTGAGGCTAACTGTTACGATTCTTTTTTCCTTCAGATAATGCTAGTGAAAATTCTTCCATGCAGAGATCACAGTCCCTTCCACAAACTTCCACCCCTCCCTTGGTGAGTGGAATGGCAGACTGTAATACCTCAGTTACTCCTGCATTAAGTGAAAGAGAAGCATCCCGATTAGACAAATTTAAGCAGCTGCTTGCTGGCCCCAATACAGATCTTGGTGAGTATTTCTCATAGGAGCTATGAATTGCATGTAAATTATTCTTTAGCTGTAATCTTTTTCTGCCTAATGTACTGTTCTGCCTGATGGTTTAGTTAGGATCTAATCCTTTCAGCATTTAGGATTGATCTTGCAAAAGACAAAATACAGTTCAATGCTTGTTGTATTCAGGTTTGTAATATGTGATTTGTATACATCCTACTAATATGTAAGGTGTTAGTTACCTTTTTGTTCTTTTCTTTTTCACGTTATTTCTTCCTACTGGGCTAGCCTCCGGAGGAAAACCAAACTATAATTAGCTGTGTTTAGTGTTAATGCCTGATAATGGAACAGCATGTAGTACAGGAATGATTCTCACACTTAGAAATATGGATGTGAAAAACAATGAAGCATGGAAGTATTACTGCTTGTCTACTCAGCATTCTTCATGTTCACAGATTGTAGTTCTGTGTCTCATCTGTGAATGCTGACAACATGTTAATGTGAAAGCAAGTGTATTGTCAGATGACTGTTTCCTTTGTGCACTGGATTTTAACTGACGAATAGTAGATACTAGTGCTGAGAGCATATCAGAGAGTCACATGGCTTTGTCTCCCACACTCTTAAGGAAGGAAGTAGAAACTGCATGTTTGCTGTTCTTGAATTGATGGTTTCCTGCCCTGTAGTGGTCATGAGACAATCAGTCTGAGACTTCAGTATGATTTAGTCCAAGTTGTGGCTTCCTTCCCGTGCCCCCACCATGTGCTGTGTCTTATCGTGAGATTGATGCTAGCAAAGTAGAACTATGGAAACCATACTAACTAGATGAAACATATTTCAATGGGTTGGACATTCTTATAAATTGCAACTGTGAACAAACTCTGAGGTTGTAGAACAATTTACATGTTTTATATAAAACAAATAACACTTTATATAAGCTTCAAAATGATACTCAAGAATTGCTTTTTCCCCTTTGATCTAACAGATGTTATGAGCTATGTGATTATGACTGACATGAAAACTCATATAACTTTTGAGAATGTTGTAATAGCAGAAATCTTTGTTACATAAGGTTAGAAAGTCAGAAGGAAGAAGTTTGATTTTAAACCTATCCATTTCACTTTTGCTATCTTATTAGATATGAATACTTTCTCGGTAAATCAGATTTAGGGATTATAGTAAACTATTTTGAAGCGAATGAAAGAAAATTTCCATTTTAGTAGGAGTGCAGTCATCCTGACTGTGGTGAGAGTTTAGTCAATGTTATTTAAACAAACTGTTTGTTTTTTTTTCTGTATTGAACTTTATAAATCTCAAACAGAAATGTACATAGGCATACGAAATTTGAGGACGTTGCTCTTAAGCTTTCAGTATTCTTTCTTGTAGATATCACTAAATAATGCCTTTTCTATCTTAGTTTACAGGAAGCTTGTTTTTTTTTTCTCTTGCTGTACAACCTGTAATGAGTACAGAATTTGAAGCTGTGTGAATAAGAATTTTAAGCCGTTTTTTTTTTTTTGATACAAGCATGTTGACTTTTGTATCTGGGATATATCCAGTAGCATTTACTAATATATCTATAAATAATGCATGACCTTTCTTAGTGAAAGATACGTACTCTTTATTGATAACACGCAAACTCTTGATGATCATGAAGTTAGTAATAGTAGGTCATGTGGTGTTAGCTCTTTGACTACATTATATGGATCTATTAGGGAAGGTGTGTGTATGCATATATATATATGTGCAAACGTATGTATATGGTTCATCAGAATCTATTGGATACATGTGTGTATGCGTTTTTGGGAGATGTTTGGCTAGTTCTTTATGTTACAATGAAGACTATGTTTATTTAAAAAGGATTCTTCATGTACAATGACAGTAGTACACTGAGAGTGGTTTGTTTTGTTTTGTTTTTTTCTTCCATTGTGGATTGTTGGCTTTTTTTGTCCCTTCATAGTAATACTGAAGATGGACCAAAAGTAAAACTAGGTAACAGGCTCCAAGCTAAGATTTGTAGAGAGTAATGAAGGGACAGGTAGCTATTCTGTTGCAGCTTTGCAGCTGGCTGATTCTGTGCATGTGTAAGTCTTTGTTTTGTGTTAGATCCACAGATAGTTGGGTTTTGTTTGTCATGGTGAATTGAATTAGTGAATAGTTGTCTTGGAGACATTTTAGCAAGTATTTCTGTTCATTTCTGCATGTAGTAGCATTGGTTTTGCTTGGAAGTAATAGAAGCAGAAATAAAGTATTTCTATTGACTATGTTTTTTTGACATCATTGTGCGTATTCTTGAAAGAGATTATGCAACTAGTCTTTTCAAAGCAATATAAAAAGTTAATCTGTGGAACTGAAACAATGTCATGCACATTTTCAACTCTGGTTTTTCTCTTATTGTAACATAAGAAATCAACATAGACTAAGAACAAAGTAATACAAATGACCTTGAAATCCTTTCAGTCACACTTGAATAATCATTATCCTATAAAAACAGTTTAAAATGCATTGTTAGTCTTCTATATCAACTAAAGCTTGTGCAAGAGTGTGTTCTTTTACAAGAAAAATCTCAAAAAGATGGATTAGGCATATAAATTTGGAAGTGAAGATTATTTTAGCCATTGAAGTCCACTAACAGATTTTGGAGTTGGGTTTGCTCCACAGGTTGGATATTGCGAAGTTGTGGAAATAGGTAGATTCCATCAACCCCATCAAATTATACATTGAGCAAAAGAATATACCGGGTATAGACTGCGATTGGGAGATGAATCCACTGATAAATACTACATATATATGTAATGATAGAAGCATTCTCAAAGTTTCTCTGCACAGTTTTGTCCAGCAGATGTTTACATACACAAATAGTTACTAAAGCAAGGCACAATCTGAGAATATGAACTAGGACAGGAAGGAAAAATCCCCCACCCCAGAATTCTAAGAATATGAAAGAACTAATTCTTTTAGGTTAATTAAAACTTATTTATGAATAAATAAATAATCTGTTAATAAAAGTCTTATTTCCATGGCTCAAAAGTGCCCTTAACTAATTTCTAGTATTTTGTGGAGCTGAACTAATAAACTCACTCTTGTAATTTATAATTGCCTTTGTAGTTGTTCTGAGTCTTCCCTTAAGCCCTCCTAACACACTTTGCTTCTCTGTCCTGTAGGCATTTTTGTCGTTTGCATGATAAATGGATGCAAATAATATACCTTATTTCCATTTGGCACTTTTTATTTGACTATTACCATGTTGTTATTACCTCTAATATAAATAGGGAAATTATAATATGAATTGGATGTCAAGAGTAGTTAGCTGTATGAACTCCCCTTCAGTTCCTGTAGAACTGTTACTTCTAGGTATATGATTTGTGCTGCAGGAGAGAGATATTCAAGAGCACTGATGGTATACTCTCAAGTAGTAATATAATGCAAAGAATGAGGAGAATAATCTCTATGTTAAAATTACAGAATGAAAGCTGCTAAACAGGCTGAATTGTGTTATAGCAAGAAATGTCAGCTGGTAGAAGGAGCCTATTGTAAGAAGCAGTTTTGTTTGAAGAGGGATTTTAGGACTGATCCCTGCAGTGAGATCATATCGAGGTATACTGGGTGCACATTTAGGAGGGAGGATAGGACTGGAGATGGCAGTACAGCTGTGTTTAGTAGAAAACTGCAGAGTAGACTGTAGGGCCTGTGTGCCTGTGCTTCCTACTCCTGGTAGTGTATGCCAGGTTATTCAGAGGGAATGGTTTACGTTAGTCGTTTTGTGCAATAATCCTGTGCTTATGCTTGCTTGCAGCCAATTTGGTGTACATTTACTTCATTTCAGCCCCTGTCTTTCCTTGTAACGGACCTTGTCTTACTGAACGAGATGGGCTGTGTGCTTGCAGAACCTTTTGTAAATGGCTGGTTGCTTTAAGAGGAGGGGAGGGGACTGTACAGGGCTTTAACAAAGCGTAAGGAGAGGGTCTCCATGAAGAAATTTCTTTCTTTCAACAGACTACTGTTTACAGTTAAAAACACACATCTAACAAATTTAGTAGAATTAGAGTATCTTGTACAGTTTTAGAAAGCTGTTTGCTGTGCCAAGACAATGTAAGCAGACTGTTGATAAAATTGGGGTGACTTATAGCAACAGTTATTTTGTAACCTCAGCATAGAAGATATGTGATGGGTTTTGTAATATCAATTTAATGAATAGGCTGTTAAAACACTTCCTTAACTCCCTATTTATCTTAAAATCAAGTAATTTTCTGCCTTTTTTATTTTTTTTACACACATATAGCTAATGGGTATGTAATTGGATGTCAGAAACATATTTATTTAAATCAAACAACAACCAACAGTAAGATTGGTAGACTGTTCTCTTTATTTAATGGAGCTTCATAACATTGCAATGCTGCTGTTATGCAACATAGCACAGGTGTATAGTTTTTTTGAAAATTGAAACAACTTCTTAAGATGTAAAGTTGTTCTGCATGTTAAGTTGACTTTTTACTTAGTCACAACATATTCCAAGTTGAACGAAATAACGGATTGAAGTTTTAGCATACTGCCTTGCTAAAAATAATAGAAGGCCCTGTAGAAGCACCAGTGAGAATGGGAAAGCATTCCTATCTTAAATCTGCTCACATTGCTGTATCCTATATTCAAATTCCAAAGCTCTGTTTCATCGCACATTGTAAAAACTCATCTGTTTATCTCGCTCATTCTAACAAAATCTCTTAAAAAGAAACCCTTTGCAGAGAGCACCACAAGCTGCTAAGTGGGGTGCTGTCTCTTAGCAAGTCCTTTACTGTACAAGTAGTATGTAATGTGAAGTCTTACAGAATACATAAAGAATAGCTGAACCTTTGATCTGATAGCAAAAATTAATTCCATAATTTTATATGTATTACAAATAGTGTAATCTGAGATTATCTCATAACAATGAGATAATCATAACAATGAGATATCTCATAACAATGAGATAATGCCTCTGTGTACTGTAATAAAAGAATTCTAGGGTGGTTCTCTAGAAATGA